ACCAGTGGCCTATGAGTGGAAACACCAGGTCTCCCACGTTAATCGACCTTGTGTCATATCTTGATTTAGTGGGAATCAAGTAAATACCTTCTTTCCGGCTTCGGCTGGGGGTTTTGACAATTAATGGATCGTTTCTTGGTGGAAGACTGAGATTCGATCAAGCTTTGACTAGCTTGGACTGGCTTCGGCCTGGACCTGTTAGGACAAGTTATGACCAGCTTTGACTAGGCTCTGACCAGCTTGGACAAGCTCTGACCAATATTTTGACCAGTGGCCTATGAGTGGAAACACTCGGGTCTCCCACGTTAATCGACCTTGTAACATATCTTGATTTAGTGGGAATCAAGTAAATACCTTCTTCCGGCTTCGGCTGGGGGTTTTGACAATTAATGGATCGTTTCTTGGTGGAAGACTGAGATTCGATCAAGCTTTGACTAGCTTGGACTGGCTTCGGCCTGGACCTGTTAGGACAAGTTATGACCAGCTTTGACTAGGCTCTGACCAGCTTGGACAAGCTCTGACCAATATTTTGACCAGTGGCCTATGAGTGGAAACACTCAGGTCTCCCACGTTAATCGACCTTGTGTCATATCTTGATTTAGTGGGAATCAAGTAAATACCTTCTTTCCGGCTTCGGCTGGGGTTTTGACAAGTAATGGATCGTTTTTGGAAACTAATGGATCGCTTTTTCTTTGGCTTCGGCCTGGAAGAAGTTATGACCAGCTTTGACTTCTGACCATGGACAAGCTCTGACCAATATTTTGACCAGTGGCCCTTGGACTCGGGTCTTCGTTAATCGCCTTGGACTTGATTTAGTGGGAATCAAGTAAATATGACTTCGGCTGGGGTTTTGACAATTAATGGATCGTTTCTTGGCGGAAGACTGAGATTCGATCAAGCTTTGACTAGCTTGGACTGGCTTCGGCCTGGACCTGTTAGGACAAGTTATGACCAGCTTTGACTAGGCTCTGACCATTTCTGACCAATATTTTGACCAGTGGCCTATGAGTGGAAACACTCGGGTCTCCCACGTTAATCGACCTTGTGTCATATCTTGATTTAGTGGGAATCAAGTAAATACCTTCTACCCGGCTTCGGCTGGGGGTTTTGACAATTAATGGATCGTTTCTTGGCGGAAGACTGAGATTCGATCAAGCTTTGACTAGCTTGGACTGGCTTCGGCCTGGACCTGTTAGGACAAGTTATGACCAGCTTTGACTAGGCTCTGACCAGCTTGGACAAGCTCTGACCAATATTTTGACCAGTGGCCTATGAGTGGAAACACTCGGGTCTCCCACGTTAATCGACCTTGTGTCATATCTTGATTTAGTGGGAATCAAGTAAATACCTTCTTTCCGGCTTTTTTTTCGGCTGGGGTTTTGACAATTAATGGATCGTTTCTTGGCGGAAGACTGAGATTCGATCAAGCTTTGACTAGCTTGGACTGGCTTCGGCCTGGACCTGTTAGGACAAGTTATGACCAGCTTTGACTAGGCTCTGACCAGCTTGGACAAGCTCTGACCAATATTTTGACCAGTGGCCTATGAGTGGAAACACTCGGGTCTCCCACGTTAATCGACCTTGTGTCATATCTTGATTTAGTGGGGAATCAAGTAAATACCTTCTTCCGGCTTCGGCTGGGGGTTTTTGACAATTAATGGATCGTTTCTTGGCGGAAGACTGAGATTCGATCAAGCTTTTGACTGGCTTGGACTGGCTTCGGCCTGGACCTGTTAGGACAAGTTATGACCAGCTTTGACTAGGCTCTGACCAGCTTGGACAAGCTCTGACCAATATTTTGACCAGTGGCCTATGAGTGGAAACACTCGGGTCTCCCACGTTAATCGACCTTGTGTCATATCTTGATTTAGTGGGAATCAAGTAAATACCTTCTTCCCGGCTTCGGCTGGGGGTTTTGACAATTAATGGATCGTTTCTTGGCGGAAGACTGAGATTCGATCAAGCTTTGACTAGCTTGGACTGGCTTCGGCCTGGACCTGTTAGGACAAGTTATGACCAGCTTTGACTAGGCTCTGACCAGCTTGGACAAGCTCTGACCAATATTTTGACCAGTGGCCTATGAGTGGAAACACTCGGGTCTCCCCACGTTAATCGACCTTGTGTCATATCTTGATTTAGTGGGAATCAAGTAAATACCATTCTTTCCGGCCTTTTTTCGGCTGGGGTTTTGACAATTAATGGATCGTTTCTTGGCGGAAGACTGAGATTCGATCAAGCTTTGACTAGCTTGGACTGGCTTCGGCCTGGACCTGTTAGGACAAGTTATGACCAGCTTTGACTAGGCTCTGACCAGCTTGGACAAGCTCTGACCAATATTTTGACCAGTGGCCTATGAGTGGAAACACTCGGGTCTCCCACGTTAATCGACCTTGTGTCATATCTTGATTTAGTGGGAATCAAGTAAATACCTTCTTCCCGGCTTCGGCTGGGGGTTTTGACAATTAATGGATCGTTTCTTGGCGGAAGACTGAGATTCGATCAAGCTTTGACTCTTGGACTGGCTTCGGCCTGGACCTGTTAGGACAAGTTATGACCAGCTTTGACTAGGCTCTGACCAGCTTGGACAAGCTCTGACCAATATTTTGACCAGTGGCCTATGAGTGGACGGGTCTCCCACGTTAATCGACCTTGTGTCATATCTTGATTTAGTGGGAATCAAGTAAATACCTTCTTTTCCCGGCTTCGGCTGGGGGTTTTGACAATTAATGGATCGTTTCTTGGCGGAAGACTGAGATTCGATCAAGCTTTGACTAGCTTGGACTGGCTTCGGCCTGGACCTGTTAGGACAAGTTATGACCAGCTTTGACTAGGCTCTGACCAGCTTGGACAAGCTCTGACCAATATTTTGACCAGTGGCCTATGGTGGAAACACTCGGGTCTCCCACGTTAATCGACCTTGTGTCATATCTTGATTTAGTGGGAATCAAGTAAATACCTTCTTCCGGCTTCGGCTGGGGGTTTTGACAATTAATGGATCGTTTCTTGGCGGAAGACTGAGATTCGATCAACCTTCTTTCCGCTTTGACTAGCTTGGACTGGCTTCGGCCTGGACCTGTTAGGACAAGTTATGACCAGCTTTGACTAGGCTCTGACCAGCTTGGACAAGCTCTGACCAATATTTTGACCAGTGGCCTATGAGTGGAAACACTCGGGTCTCCCACGTTAATCGACCTTGTGTCATATCTTGATTTAGTGGGAATCAAGTAAATACCATTCTTCCCGGCTTCGGCTGGGGTTTTGACAAATTAATGGATCGTTTCTTGGCGGAAGACTGAGATTCGATCAATCTTGATTTTGACTAGCTTGGACTGGCTTCGGCCTGGACCTGTTAGGACAAGTTATGACCAGCTTTGACTAGGCTCTGACCAGCTTGGACAAGCTCTGACCAATATTTTGACCAGTGGCCTATGAGTGGAAACACTCGGGTCTCCCACGTTAATCGACCTTGTGTCATATCTTGATTTAGTGGGAATCAAGTAAATACCTTCTTCCCGGCTTCGGCTGGGGTTTTGACAATTAATGGATCGTTTCTTAGCGGAAGACTGAGATTCGATCAAGCTTTGACTAGCTTGGACTGGCTTCGGCCTGGACCTGTTAGGACAAGTTATGACCAGCTTTGACTAGGCTCTGACCAGCTTGGACAAGCTCTGACCAATATTTTGACCAGTGGCCTATGAGTGGAAACACTCGGGTCTCCCACGTTAATCGACCTTGTGTCATATCTTGATTTAGTGGGAATCAAGTAAATACCTTCTTTCCGGCTTCGGCTGGGGTTTTGATTTCGTTTCTTGGGGAGATGAGATTCGATCAAATACTTGGACTGGCTTCGGCCTGGACCTGTTAGGCAAGTTTGACCAGCTTTGACTAGGGGTTTTGACAATTTTGACCAGTGGCCTATGAGTGGATCGTTTCGACCTTGGTGGATTTAGTGGGAATCTGAGATTCGGCTTCGGCTGGGGGTTTTGACAATTTGGATCGTTTCTTGGCGGAAGACTGAGATTCGATGGACTTTGGCTGGACTGGCCTGGACCTGTTAGGACAAGTTATGACCAGCTTTGACTAGGCTCTGACCAGCTTGGACAAGCTCTGACCAATATTTTGACCAGTGGCCTATGAGTGGAAACACTCGGGTCTCCCGTTAATCGACCTTGTGTCATATCTTGATTTAGTGGGAATCAAGTAAAATACCTTCTTCCGGCTTCGGCTGGGGGTTTTGACAATTAATGGATCGTTTCTTGGTGGAAGACTGAGATTCGATCAAGCTTTGACTAGCTTGGACTGGCTTCGGCCTGGACCTGTTAGGACAAGTTATGACCAGCTTTGACTAGGCTCTGACCAGCTTGGACAAGCTCTGACCAATATTTTGACCAGTGGCCTATGAGTGGAAACACTCGGGTCTCCCACGTTAATCGACCTTGTGTCATATCTTGATTTAGTGGGAATCAAGTAAATACCTTCTTTCCCGGCTTCGGCTGGGGGTTTTGACAATTAATGGATCGTTTCTTGGTGGAAGACTGAGATTCGATCAAGCTTTGACTAGCTTGGACTGGCTTCGGCCTGGACCTGTTAGGACAAGTTATGACCAGCTTTGACTAGGCTCTGACCAGCTTGGACAAGCTCTGACCAATATTTTTGACCAGTGGCCTATGAGTGGAAACACTCGGGTCTCCCACGTTAATCGACCTTGTGTCATATCTTGATTTAGTGGGAATCAAGTAAATACCTTCTTCCCGGCTTCGGCTGGGGGTTTTGACAATTAATGGATCGTTTCTTGGTGGAAGACTGAGATTCGATCAAGCTTTTGACTTGGACTTGGACTGGACCTTCGGCCTGGACCTGTTAGGACAAGTTCTGACCAGCTTGGACAAGCTCTGACCTTTGACCAGTGGCCTTGGACACTCAGGTCTCCCACGTTAATCGACCTTGTGTCATATCTTGATTTAGTTTGACCTTCTTTCCGGTGGCTGGGGTTTTGACTAATGGAGTGGAAGACTGAGATTCGACTGCTTTTGACGGGTCTGGCTTGGCCTGGACCTGTTAGGACAAGTTATGACCTTTGTGTCAGCTTGGACAATCTTGACCAATATTTTGACCAGTGGCCTATGGTGGAACTCGGGTCTCCCACGTTAATCGACCTTGTGTCATATCTTGATTTAGTGGGAATCAAGTAAATACCTTCTTCCCGGCTTCGGCTGGGGTTTTGACAATTAATGGATCGTTTCTTGGCGGAAGACTGAGATTCGATCAAGCTTTGACTAGCTTGGACTGGCTTCGGCCTGGACCTGTTAGGACAAGTTATGACCAGCTTTGACTAGGCTCTGACCAGCTTGGACAAGCTCTGACCAATATTTTGACCAGTGGCCTATGAGTGGAAACACTCGGGTCTCCCACGTTAATCGACCTTGTGTCATATCTTGATTTAGTGGGAATCAAGTAAATACCTTCTTCCCGGCTTCGGCTGGGGGTTTTGACAATTAATGGATCGTTTCTTGGCGGAAGACTGAGATTCGATCAAGCTTTGACTAGCTTGGACTGGCTTCGGCCTGGACCTGTTAGGACAAGTTATGACCAGCTTTGACTAGGCTCTGACCAGCTTGGACAAGCTCTGACCAATATTTTGACCAGTGGCCAGTGGTTAATCGACCTTGTGTCATATCTTGATTTAGTGGGAATCAAGTAAATACCTTCTTTCCGGCTTCGGCTGGGGAATGGATCGTTTCTTGGCGGAAGACTGAGGTCTAACGGACTGGCTTCGGCCACGTTAATCTGACCAGCTTGACAAGTGACCATTTTGACCAGTGGCCTTGGATTAATCGACCTTGTGGGAATCATATCTTGATTTAGTGGGAATCAAGTAAATACCTTCTTTCCGGCTTCGGCTGGAGGTTTTGACAATTAATGGATCGTTTCTTAGCGGAAGACTGAGATTCGATCAAGCTTTGACTAGCTTGGACTGGCTTCGGCCTGGACCTGTTAGGACAAGTTATGACCAGCTTTGACTAGGCTCTGACCAGCTTGGACAAGCTATGACCAATATTTTGACCAGTGGCCTATGAGTGGAAACACTCGGGTCTCCCACGTTAATCGACCTTGTGTCATATCTTGATTTAGTGGGAATCAAGTAAATACCTTCTTCCCGGCTTCGGCTGGGGTTTTGACAATTAATGGATCGTTTCTTGGCGGAAGACTGAGATTCGATCAAGCTTTGACTAGCTTGGACTGGCTTCGGCCTGGATCTGTTAGGACAAGTTATGACCAGCTTTGACTAGGCTCTGACCAGCTTGGACAAGCTCTGACCAATATTTTGACCAGTGGCCTATGAGTGGAAACACTCGGGTCTCCCACGTTAATCGACCTTGTGTCATATCTTGATTTAGTGGGAATCAAGTAAATACCTTCTTCCGGCTTCGGCTGGGGGTTTTGACAATTAATGGATCGTTTCTTGGCGGAAGACTGAGATTCGATCAAGCTTTGACTAGCTTGGACTGGCTTCGGCCTGGACCTGTTAGGACAAGTTATGACCAGCTTTGACTAGGCTCTGACCAGCTTGGACAAGCTCTGACCAATATTTTGACCAGTGGCCTATGAGTGGAAACACTCGGGTCTCCCACGTTAATCGACCTTGTGTCATATCTTGATTTAGTGGGAATCAAGTAAATACCTTCTTCCGGCTTCGGCTGGGGGTTTTGACAATTAATGGATCGTTTCTTGGCGGAAGACTGAGATTGAGATTAGCTTGGACTGGCTTCGGCCTGGACCTGTTAGGGACAAGTTATGACCAGCTTTGAGGCTCTGACCAGCTTGGACTCTGACCAATATTTTGACCAGTGGCCGGCGGGTCTGGACCTGTCATATCTTGATTTAGTGGGACAAGTTTCCGGCTTCGGCTGGGGGTTTTGACAAGTAATGGATCGTTTTTGACGGAAGGGCTCTTTGACCAGCTTCGGCCTGGACCTGTTAGGGTTATGACCAGCTTTGACTAGGCTCTGACCAGCTTGGACCAATATTTTGACCAGTGGCCTATGAGTGGAAACACTCGGGTCTCCCACGTTAATCGACCTTGTGTCATATCTTGATTTAGTGGGAATCAAGTAAATACCTTCTTCCCGGCTTCGGCTGGGGTTTTGACAATTAATGGATCGTTTCTTGGTGGAAGACTGAGATTCGATCAAGCTTTGACTAGCTTGGACTGGCTTCGGCCTGGACCTGTTAGGACAAGTTATGACCAGCTTTGACTAGGGAGCTCTGACCAGCTTGGACAAGCTCTGACCAATATTTTGACCAGTGGCCTATGAGTGGAAACACTCGGGTCTCCCACGTTAATCGACCTTGTGTCATATCTTGATTTAGTGGGAATCAAGTAAATACCTTCTTCCCGGCTTCGGCTGGGGTTTTGACAATTAATGGATCGTTTCTTGGCGGAAGACTGAGATTCGATCAAGCTTTGACTAGCTTGGACTGGCTTCGGCCTGGACCTGTTAGGACAAGTTATGACCAGCTTTGACTAGGCTCTGACCAGCTTGGACAAGCTCTGACCAATATTTTGACCAGTGGCCTATGAGTGGAAACACTCGGGTCTCCCACGTTAATCGACCTTGTGTCATATCTTGATTTAGTGGGAATCAAGTAAATACCATTCTTTCCGGCTTCGGCTGGGGGTTTTGACAAGTAATGGATCGTTTCTTGGTGGAAGACTGAGATTCGATCAAGCTTTGACTAGCTTGGACTGGCTTCGGCCTGGACCTGTTAGGACAAGTTATGACCAGCTTTGACTAGGCTCTGACCAGCTTGGACAAGCTCTGACCAATATTTTGACCAGTGGCCTATGAGTGGAAACACTCGGGTCTCCCACGTTAATCGACCTTGTGTCATATCTTGATTTAGTGGGAATCAAGTAAATACCTTCTTCCCGGCTTCGGCTGGGGGGGTTTTGACAAGTAATGGATCGTTTCTTGGCGGAAGACTGAGATTCGATCAAGATTTTGACTAAGCTTGGACTGGCTTCGGCCTGGACCTGTTAGGACAAGTTATGACCAGCTTTGACTAGGCTCTGACCAGCTTGGACAAGCTCTGACCAATATTTTGACCAGTGGCCTATGAGTGGAAACACTCGGGTCTCCCACGTTAATCGACCTTGTGTCATATCTTGATTTAAAAGTGGGAATCAAGTAAATACCTTCTTCCCGGCTTCGGCTGGGGTTTTGACAATTAATGGATCGTTTCTTGGCGGAAGACTGAGATTCGATCAAGCTTTGACTAGCTTGGACTGGCTTCGGCCTGGACCTGTTAGGACAAGTTATGACCAGCTTTGACTAGGCTCTGACCAGCTTGGACAAGCTCTGACCAATATTTTGACCAGTGGCCTATGAGTGGAAACACTCAGGTCTCCCACGTTAATCGACCTTGTGTCATATCTTGATTTAGTGGGAATCAAGTAAATACCTTCTTCCCGGCTTCGGCTGGGGGTTTTGACAATTAATGGATCGTTTCTTGGCGGAAGACTGAGATTCGATCAAGCTTTGACTAGCTTGGACTGGCTTCGGCCTGGACCTGTTAGGACAAGTTATGACCAGCTTTGACTAGGCTCTGACCAGCTTGGACAAGCTCTGACCAATATTTTGACCAATCGGGAAACACTCGGGTCTTTAATCGACCAGTGTCATATCTTGATTGAGTAGGAATGTAAAACACTTCTTTCCGGCTTCTGGGGTTTGACAAGTAATGGATCGTTTCTTGGCGGAAGACTGAGATTCGATCAAGCTTTGACTAGCTTGGACTGGCTTCGGCCTGGACCTGTTAGGACAAGTTATGACCAGCTTTGACTAGGCTCTGACCCTTGGACAAGCTCTGACCAATATTTTGACCAGTGGCCTATGAGTGGGGTCTCCCGTTAATCGACCTTGTGTCATATCTTGATTTAGTGGGAATCAAGTAAATACCTTCTTTTTCCGGCTTTCGGCTGGGGGTTTTGACAATTAATGGATCGTTTCTTGGCGGAAGACTGAGATTCGATCAAGCTTTGACTAGCTTGGACTGGCTTCGGCCTGGATCTGTTAGGACAAGTTATGACCAGCTTTGACTAGGCTCTGACCAGCTTGGACAAGCTCTGACCAATATTTTGACCAGTGGCCTATGAGTGGAAACACTCGGGTCTCCCACGTTAATCGACCTTGTGTCATATCTTGATTTAGTGGGAATCAAGTAAATACCTTCTTCCCGGCTTCGGCTGGGGTTTTGACAATTAATGGATCGTTTCTTGGCGGAAGACTGAGATTCGATCAAGCTTTGACTAGCTTGGACTGGCTTCGGCCTGGACCTGTTAGGACAAGTTATGACCAGCTTTGACTAGGCTCTGACCAGCTTGGACAAGCTCTGACCAATATTTTGACCAGTGGCCTATGAGTGGAAACACTCTTGGGTCTCCCACGTTAATCGACCTTGTGTCATATCTTGATTTAGTGGGAATCAAGTAAATACCTTCTTCCCGGCAAGTTTCGGCTGGGGGTTTTGACAAGTAATGGATCGTTTCTTGGCGGAAGACTGAGATTCGATCAAGCTTTGACTAGCTTGGACTGGCTTCGGCCTGGACCTGTTAGGACAAGTTATGACCAGCTTTGACTAGGCTCTGACCAGCTTGGACAAGCTCTGACCAATATTTTGACCAGTGGCCTATGAGTGGAAACACTCGGGTCTCCCACGTTAATCGACCTTGTGTCATATCTTGATTTAGTGGGAATCAAGTAAATACCTTCTTCCCGGCTTCGGCTGGGGGTTTTGACAAGTAATGGATCGTTTCTTGGCGGAAGACTGAGATTCGATCAAGCTTTGACTAGCTTGGACTGGCTTCGGCCTGGACCTGTTAGGACAAGTTATGACCAGCTTTGACTAGGCTCTGACCAGCTTGGACAAGCTCTGACCAATATTTTGACCAGTGGCCTATGAGTGGAAACACTCGGGTCTCCCACGTTAATCGACCTTGTGTCATATCTTGATTTAGTGGGAATCAAGTAAATACCTTCTTCTTCCCGGCTTCGGCTGGGGGTTTTGACAAGTAATGGATCGTTTCTTGGCGGAAGACTGAGATTCGATCAAGCTTTGACTAGCTTGGACTGGCTTCGGCCTGGACCTGTTAGGACAAGTTATGACCAGCTTTGACTAGGCTCTGACCAGCTTGGACAAGCTCTGACCAATATTTTGACCAGTGGCCTATGAGTGGAAACACTCGGGTCTCCCACGTTAATCGACCTTGTGTCATATCTTGATTTAGTGGGAATCAAGTAAATACCTTCTTCCCGGCTTCGGCTGGGGGTTTTGACAAGTAATGGATCGTTTCTTGGCGGAAGACTGAGATTCGATCAAGCTTTGACTAGCTTGGACTGGCTTCGGCCTGGACCTGTTAGGACAAGTTATGACCAGCTTTGACTAGGCTCTGACCAGCTTGGACAAGCTCTGACCAATATTTTGACCAGTGGCCTATGAGTGGAAAACTCGGGTCTCCCACGTTAATCGACCTTGTGTCATATCTTGATTTAGTGGGAATCAAGTAAATACCTTCTTCCCGGCTTCGGCTGGGGGTTTTGACAAGTAATGGATCGTTTCTTGGCGGAAGACTGAGATTCGATCAAGCTTTGACTAGCTTGGACTGGCTTCGGCCTGGACCTGTTAGGACAAGTTATGACCAGCTTTGACTAGGCTCTGACCAGCTTGGACAAGCTCTGACCAATATTTTGACCAGTGGCCTATGAGTGGAAACACTCGGGTCTCCCACGTTAATCGACCTTGTGTCATATCTTGATTTAGTGGGAATCAAGTAAATACCTTCTTCTCGGCTTCGGCTGGGGGTTTTGACAATTAATGGATCGTTTCTTGGCGGAAGACTGAGATTCGATCAAGCTTTGACTAGCTTGGACTGGCTTCGGCCTGGACCTGTTAGGGACAAGTTATGACCAGCTTTGACTAGGCTCTGACCAGCTTGGACAAGCTCTGACCAATATTTTGACCAGTGGCCTATGAGTGGAAACACTCGGGTCTCCCACGTTAATCGACCTTGTGTCATATCTTGATTTAGTGGGGAATCAAGTAAATACCTTCTTCCGGCTTCGGCTGGGGTTTTGACAATTAATGGATCGTTTCTTGGCGGAAGACTGAGATTCGATCAAGCTTTGACTAGCTTGGACTGGCTTCGGCCTGGACCTGTTAGGACAAGTTATGACCAGCTTTGACTAGGCTCTGACCAGCTTGGACAAGCTCTGACCAATATTTTGACCAGTGGCCTATGAGTGGGAAAAACACTCGGTCTCCCACGTTAATCGACCTTGTGTCATATCTTGATTTAGTGGGAATCAAGTAAATACCTTCTTCTCGGCTTCGGCTGGGGTTTTGACAATTAATGGATCGTTTCTTGGCGGAAGACTGAGATTCGATCAAGCTTTGACTAGCTTGGACTGGCTTCGGCCTGGACCTGTTAGGACAAGTTATGACCAGCTTTGACTAGGCTCTGACCAGCTTGGACAAGCTCTGACCAATATTTTGACCAGTGGCCTATGAGTGGAAAACACTCGGGTCTCCCACGTTAATCGACCTTGTGTCATATCTTGATTTAGTGGGAATCAAGTAAATACCTTCTTCTCGGCTTCGGCTGGGGTTTTGACAATTAATGGATCGTTTCTTGGCGGAAGACTGAGATTCGAGCTTTGACTAGCTTGGACTGGCTTCGGCCTGGACCTGTTAGGGACAAGTTATGACCAGCTTTGACTAGGCTCTGACCAGCTTGGACAAGCTCTGACCAATATTTTGACCAGTGGCCTATGAGTGGAAACACTCGGGTCTCCCACGTTAATCGACCTTGTGTCATATCTTGATTTAGTGGGAATCCCTTCTTCTTCGGCTGGATTTTTTGACAATTAATGGAGTTTCTTGGCGGAAGATTGAGATTCGATCGCTTTGACCAGCTTGCGGCCTGACCTGTTAGACAAGTTATGACCAGCTTTGACCAGGCTCTGAGCAGTCCGGCCTCTGACCATCATTTTGACCAGCAGGAAACAGAGCCAGGAGACCTTTGGGTCCGGCCTGGGAATAATCATCATCACAGCTAGAGCCAGCAGATGGCAGTGTCATCAATATCTTGCATTGACCATCAGGCTCACCAGCTAGAGCCAGCAGAGCAGTCCGGCCTCCTCATCATCATCAGCAGCAGCAGCAAATAGAGCCAGCAGAGCAGTCCGGCCTCCTCATCATCATCATCAGCAGCTGGAGCCAGCAGGCAGTTTCATCATCAGTCATCAGCAGCAGGGAGATCCAGTTTCAGTGGGGGCAGCAGCTAAGCCTTGCAGAACAGTCCGGCCTCCCGATCATCTTTGACTAGCTTGGACAAGCAGAGCAGTCCGGCCTGGACCATCAGCAGGCAAGAGCCAGAGCCTCCTCATCATCAGCAGCAGCAGCAGCTAGAGACCATTTTGACCAGTGGCCAGAAACACTGAGCCTCCTCACGTTAATCAGCAGCAGCAGCAGCTAGAGCCAGCAGGGCAGTAAATACCTCCTCATCATCAGCTTCAGCAGGGGCTAGAGCCAGCAGACAGTCCGGCCTCCTCATTTTCAGCAGCAGCAGCTAGAGCCAGCAGGCAGTCCGGCCTCCTGTCATCATCAGGACAAGTTAGAGCCAGCTTTGAGCAGTCCGGCCTCCTCACCATCAGCAGCAGCAGCATATTTAGAGCCAGCAGAGCAGTCCGGCCTCCTCATCATCATCAGCAGCAGCAGCTAGACCAGCAAACAGGCCTCCCTCATCATCATCAGCAGCAGCAAGTAGAGCCAGCAGAGCAGTCCGGCCTCCTCACCATCAGCAGCAGGCAGCTAGAGCCAGCAAACAGTCCGGCCTCCTCATCATCAGCAGCAGCAGCAGCAGAGGCAGAGCAGTCCGGCCTCCTCATCATCAGCAGCAGCAGCTAGAGCCAGCAGAGCAGTCCGGCCTCCTCATCATCAGCAGCAGCAGCAGCTAGAGCCAGCAGAGCAGTCCGGCCTCCTCATCATCATCAGCAGCAGCTAGAGCCAGCAGAGCAGTCCGGCCTCCTCATCATCAGCAGCAGCAGCAGCTAGAGCCAGCAGCAGTCCGGCCTCCTCATCAGCAGCAGCAGCTAGAGCCAGCAGAGCAGTCCGGCCTCCTCATCATCAGCAGCAGCAGCAGCTAGAGCCAGCAGAGCAGTCCAGCCTCCCTCATCATCAGCAGCAGCAGTAGGAGCCAGAGCAGTCCGGCCTCCTCATCATCAGCAGCAGCAGCAGCTAGAGCCAGCAGAGCAGTCCGGCCTCCCCCTCTCAGCATCAGCAGCAGCAGCTAGAGCCAGCCAGTCCGGCCAGCAGAGCAGTCCGGCCTCCTCACCATCAGCAGCAGCAGCAGCTAGAGCCAGCAGAGCAGTCCGGCCTCCTCATCAGCAGCAGCAGCAGCTAGAGCCAGCAGAGCAGTCCGGCCTCCTCATCATCAGCAGCAGCAGCAGCTAGAGCCAGCAGAGCAGTCCGGCCTCCTCATCATCAGCAGCAGCAGCTAGAGCCCAGAGCAGTCCAGCCTCCTCATCAGCAGCAGCAGCAGCTAGAGCCAGCAGAGCAGTCCGGCCTCATCATCAGCAGCAGCCAGCAGAGCAGTCCGGCAGCCGGAGCCAGCAGAGCAGTCCGGCCTCCTCATCATCATCAGCAGCAGCAGCCGCTAGAGCCAGCAGATATCAGCAGCAGCCTATCCTCGGCTACATGATATGCACTAGCCTATCCTCGGCTACATGATATGCACTAGCCTATCCTCGGCTACATGATATGCACTAGCCTATCCTCGGCTACATGATATGCACTAGCCTACACTCGGTTACATGATATGCACTAGCCTATCCTCGGCTACATGATATGCAATAGTCTGCCCTCGATTACATAATATGCAATAGTCCTTTTCAGGACTAACCTGGCCGCGTCCTTTTATTTGGACTACCAAGCTGCGATCCTGCGCGACACTCCACCCAAGGACGAACTGACTACACCACAGCACTGTCCGCGTCGATCCTCTCTCTCTGCAAGCGCCGACGCACCCTTTACTCAAGTACAGACATCCAGGGATCGACTGGACCTCGGACATCCCTGTTTCCATTCGGCCTACCTCCAAGCTGTCGCCTTGAGACCTGACAACACTCCTCCAAGACTACACGACCGAACTACTACAAACGATTATCTGTATATATTCGTGCCAGATTTATTTAATAAAATTTGGCTTAAACTTTTACATCCTCGTTTTTGTTGTCCTTGCTTCGATCGTATTATCTTATATTATTTTTCCGTTTGCGGGGTTAACAGTCAACCTGCTTAGCGCCGCAACAAGTGGTGACCCTGATATTTACGATCGAGCAAGATGGCAACTGACGAGGGGAACAGAACACTCTCATAAATGTGGCAATGCCACTCACAAACCTCCCTCCGTACAACGAGCAGAACACCAAGAACTGGTTTTTACAGCTGGAAGCCATTTTCTCGGTACGGAAAAATCACATCACAACAAGCAAAATTCGTCAACGTGGTACAAGTTTTGCCACCTTCAGTTGTCGACGAAGTAGCCGACATCTTGGAACACGTACCCGAGCAGGAGCCATATACTCGCCTCAAGGAGGCTATTCTGAAACGAACCGGCCGTTCGGACGAGGAACTGCTCCGGAACTTTTACCCACGTCACCAGGGGCGACAGAACACCCTCACAGCTTCTACGCTTCATGAGGAGCCGACTGGGGAAACATTCCATGGCCGAATCAATCTTGCGCGAACTGTGGATGGACAAGTTACCCACTACCATAACGCAGATATTGGCACCAATCGCTGATAACCTCCACTGGACCAGTTAGCAAACTCCGCTGACCGCATCGCAACTAAACTGGACCAAGGGAGTGTGTGCGTGCAACGCCCAGACGACACATCAGCCAAAGAAACAGACCTGGAAAAGGCGGTAGCTGACCTGCAGCATCAGCTGCAGGATATACGAATGCTCCTTTCCCGCACATCGAGAGGCCCGATGCCGGCGACCGGCGGTTGGCGACGGAGAGCACGGAGTACCAGCAGGGGTCGACGAGTCGACCCGGAATTATGCTGGTACCATCACAGATTCGGCACCAGGGCAAAGAATTGCTCGGCACCCTGCAAATACAGCTCAAAACCAAGTCGGAAAACTAAACAACCGGCGGGTAGGAGCGGCAGAACCTCCGGCAAAAACATACGAAGCCGCCTTTTCTACGTATGGGACCGACGGAACAACATAAAGTTTCTAGTGGACACGGGAGCAGCTATCAGCGTTATACCCCCAAAGAACAGCAAGACCGAAAGGCGACCCCGTATAAACTCCAGGCAGCAAACGGCTCGACGATCGAGACATATGGAGCCAAGACACTGACTCTGAACATCGGTATGCGGCGCGATTTTACATGGACTTTCACCCAGGCAGACGTAAAAACGCCAATACTCGGTGCAGATTTCTGGCCCATTATGATCTAGCCGTGCACATGAATACGAGAACTTTATCAGACAATACCACGAACATTGCTGTTAAAGGCACCCTCTCGACACAACACCACTGGAATCAGTGTGACAACTTGCCACGGACGAGAGTACATCGAGATCCTAAACAGATACTCGGACCTCATTCAACCCACTCGCAGGTACCGGTCCGGCAAGACACCAAACACAGCACCATATAAAGACCAGTGGACAGCCTACTTTTTCCCACCCCCACGACTTCCTCCTCATAAGCTGGAATACGCCCAAAAGGAGTTTAACAACATGCTGCAGGACGGATTTATACGACCCTCCGATAGCCCATACGCCTCACCCTACATCTCGTACCTAAGCCGGGAAGCACAGACTTTGGGGTATGTGTCGATTATAGAAGATTAAAACGCTACAACCATACCCGATCGCTATCCGGTCCCGCATATTCACGATTTCGCCTCAGGGTTGCAGGGCACTCGCGTCTTTTCGAAGATAGACCTAACTAAGGCCTACCACCAGATCCCCATAGCTCCGGAGGACATTCCAAAGACAGCCGTAACCACTCCCTTTGGTCTCTTTGAATACCTCAAGATGCCCTTTGGCCTGAGGAATGCTGCACAAACGTTCCAACGCTTCATAGATGAGGTACTGCGCGGCTTAACGTACGCGTATGCCTACATCGACGACATACTGGTAGCCAGCATAGATGAGAACACACACAAAAACATCTAAACGAAGTGTTCCAAAGAATAGCACTTTATGGACTCCGGCTGAACATGGACAAATGCACTTTCGGGGCATCTGAGGTGAACTTAGGCCATCAAATAGACAAGGACGGTATCACACCATTACCCGAGAAAGTCGACGCGATAAAAAAACTTCCCTACGCCGACATCCACAAAGCAAATCAGACGATTTATCGGTATGATAAATTTTACCGCAGGTTCATACCCGACTGCTCAACAATTCTCTCCCCGTTAACAAACATCATAGAGCGGAAGAACAAACAAATTACCCTAGAGGGAGATACCTTGCGGGCTTTCGAAACGGCAAAGACAGCGCTGATAAACTTCATAAAACTCTCATTCATCGAAAACGACCCGGAAACAAGAATTTTCCTTACAACAGACGCTTCCGACGTTGGAATAGGAGCAGTAGTGGAGCAGCAAGTGAACATGAAGAGACAGTCGATAGCCTTCTTCTCAGCTAAACTCTCCGCAGCCCAGAGAAGATACAGCACCTTCTCACGAGAACTCCTGGCGATCTACCTGTCCATACGTCATTTTCGACATCTTCTGGAAGGCAGACATTTCACTATCTTCACGGATCACAAACCACTGATCAACGCGATGAATGTCAGCGCAGACAAGTATACATCCCGTGAAACACGTCACCTCGACTACATCTCACAGTTTACGACGGACATCAGACACGTCCAAGGAAAGAACAACACCGTCGCAGACACATTGTCCAGAACAGACGTCAATACCATGGATAACGACGTTTGGAGCCAGGAGCTGATAGCCGACAAACAAAAAAGACGATACGACGATACCTGACATCATTAAGGAGACTTCTTTGAAACTGCAGGAATTCCCGTGTCCGTTCAGCGATAAAACTCTTTTCTGTGACACCGCACTGGATACCTGAGACCGTACATTCCTCCATCTCTTAGAAAAAAAAGTATTTCTCCATCTCCACAATCTATCCCATCCGAGCAAGCGAGCAACCGTCGCTTATCGCCGATCGATTTGTGTGGCCCAACATGAATTCAGACATTAGGAATTGGGTCTCAACCTGCATACAATGTCAGAAATGCAAAATTCAGAGGCACACAAAATCACCAGTTGGAACATTCGCCACACCCGACGCACGTTTCAGCCACATCCACGTTGACCTCGTCGGCCTCTACCAATGTGCCAGGGGTACCAATACCTTCTAACAATCATAGACCGTTTTTCGAGATGGCCAGTCGCTGTGCCGATTAAGGACATTTCCGCTACCACAGTTTCTAAAGCCATTCTCACCAACTGGATTACTAACTTTGGCGTACCACAAGTTCTCACTACAGATCGGGGACCACAATTTCAGTCCTCGCTTTTCCGAGAATTCTCTCAACTTTTGGGTGTCAGACACATTAAAACGACGGCTTACCATCCTTGCGCAAACGGCCTCGTGGAGAGATTTCACCGATCCCTAAAGACGTCCCTGTCAACCAAACTCGACATACACAACTGGGTCGACAACCTCCCCATGACCATGCTCTCTTTGCGGAATACCCTCAAAACGGATTTAGGGTGTTCGACAGCAGAGCTCGTGTTTGGTACGCCTCTCTCCTTACCAGGGCAATATTTTCACCTTCCGCAGTACTCTTGCACATCCACACCAAGTTCTTTCGTGCAAGATCTGCGCCACAAAATGGACAAACTTACATACACTCCCCCACGAAAACAAACCACAAGCTCTTACTTACCACAGAATTTGGATACCTGCGATTTTGTTTTTGTTAGGAACGACGCCGTAAAAACCTCTCACACCTAGCTACCAAGGCCCTTTCAAAGTTCTGAAGCGTTCTAAGAAATTTGTCACGATCATGCGCGGCAAAAACAAAGATACAGTCTCCATCGACCGACTTAAACCAGCTTGGTTAGAGGAAACTTCTCCCGAGCCAGACTTACCAACAACGACGGAAGATGAAACAACAACACCAGTCGTACGAACAAAATCAGGCAGAAGAGTTCATTTTCCTGCCAAACTAAAGACTTACATTCTTTTTGTGAATTGATCACGATCAATCCTCTAGGAAGGGGCCTTATCGCACCCGGCCGGAAGTTACTGCCGGCTACTCAAACATCTAAAAGCGTCACCGCGGAAAACATAACGAATGCCGTTAACTTCCGGTGACTAAGCGTTTTTCAGTCAACGTCTCACACAAACTAAGAAAAAACGAAACATTTACCAATACTAACTTTCCTAACCAAAAACAATTACCAGAAACATTTTATATACACATGGTGTCCGAATGGAATCCATGTGTACAGCCAAAAAGTAGAAGGTAATTTTCAGTCATCACCCCAAATATATCGCTGACAGGCTACGTTGCCGACCTCAGCCTATATATACACAGCGGATTTTTTCCACCAAATTAATCTTCTCGGCTGATTTTTTGGCCTCGGGGTTGAGCGACGAGCCCCCTCTCACCTACGCTGAGACACGAAGCAGCAGCAGCTAGAGCCAGCAGACATCAGCAACAGCTAGAGCCAGCAGACATCAGCAGCAGCTAGAGCCAGCAGACATCAGCAGCAGCTAGAGCCAGCAGACATCAGCAGCAGCTAGAGCCAGCAGACATCAGCAGCAGCTAGAGCCAGCAGACATCAGCAGCAGCTAGAGCCAGCAGAGCAGTCCGGCCTCCTCCTCATCAGCAGCAGCAGCAGCTAGAGCCAGCAGAGCAGTCCGGCCTCCTCCTCATCAGCAGCAGCAGCAGCTAGAGCCAGCAGAGCAGTCCGGCCTCCTCCTCATCAGCAGCAGCAGCAGCTAGAGCCAGCAGATATCAGCAGCAGCCTATCCTCGGCTACATGATATGCACTAGCCTATCCTCGGTTACATGATATGCACTAGCCTATCCTCGGCTACATGATATGCACTAGCCTATCCTCGGTTACATGATATGCACTAGCCTATCCTCGGCTACATGATATGCACTAGCCTATCCTCGGTTACATGATATGCAATAGTCTGCCCTCGATTACATAATATGCAATAGTCCTTTTCAGGACTAACCTAGCTGCGTCCTTTTTATTAGGACTACCAAGCTGCGATCCTGCGCGACACTCAACCAAGGACGAACTGACTACACCACAGCCCTATCACGTCCGCGCGTCGATCCTCTCTCTGCAAGTACAGACATCCAGGGATCGACTGGACCCAGAACATCGCTGGTTCCATTCGGCCTACCTCCAAGCTGTCGCCTTGAGACCTGACAACACTCCTCCAAGACTACACGACCGAACTACTACAAACGATTATCTGTATATATTCGTGCCAAATTTATTTAATAAAATTTGGCTTAAACTTTTACATCCTCGTTTTTGTTGTCCTTGCTTCGATCGTATTATCTTATATTATTTTTCCGTTTGCGGGGTTAACAGTCAACCTGCTTAGCGCTGCAACATCTTCTTTTCTGCAGATCACGTGACCGTTTCCGACCAATTGTTATTGATCGAGCATCCTTTCTCCTCATTTCGGGCGTGGTTACATCGTTCTTGTTTTTAAAAAAAACAAAAATCTAAGTTGGCCTTTTTTTCGCGTACGAAAAATGATAATCTTGGCTTTTTCTCACTTGGTTTTGGTCAACACAGCCTGCCGCTAATTAGTTGTGACTTCAGGAAAGTATATTGTCGCCATCTGTGATCTGAGGACAATTTTTTTTCACCTCTTGTTTTTTTTGTCAGACCCGGCAGTCAGAAAATCTTAATTTTATCTGAATTGAAAACATCTTTCACTCGTCAATGTGGGGTTCTAATTTTAACAGGTCAGAATCTGTATACCGTTCCATCGGTCACTCCCTCAACCCAAAAGACACTTTTTCTCTGATTAAAAAAAAATTTCATTTCTATTGTTCAAAAAAAATTTCCCTTTCTCCAATTTGATAAGGTGTCTTTTCACGCAAAAGTAGGCTAGATGCTTTGACCGATTTTCTTATCAATTGCCAAAACACTGTCATCAAGCCTGGTTCTTTTCTCCTCTTAATGATTTTTCATTTCAAATAACAATTTCCCATTGTCCTTAAAAATTCGGCCACACGCAGGTCAAGATATCTTGACACTTTCTTCGCTTATGACTGGGTCATGCATCATCCAATCCCTCTCTCTCCTTTTTTTATTTCTAATTCTATTCTTCCAATTGTCTTTAAAAAATTCGGTCAACATGCTGGCTAAGATATCTTTCTGACTCCTACCTCCACCATTGACTGGGTCATGCATCATCCAACTCTCTTTCTTTCTTTTTTCTTCTTCCCTTAGGATCGTCCAAGTACAATCTTAGTGAATTATTTCCAACTCAATTATTTTCCGTTAATAAAAAAAAAAATTAACAACCTGTTTAGTAAACCGAGTAAGAAAAAATTAAATCATATTTCTATGAATATTTCGAATAATGCAAGGTGCCACATAAGAATGAAGGTCGACACAGGGGCGAATGGCAATATTCTACCAGTCAGAATATACAAAAAAATGTATCCATATAAAAACAATGGCGACAAAAAAAATTACAAACAAAAAAGGGGACAAAGGGAGCTAACCCCTGAAAATCTGAAACAAGAGTTAACTACACTTTGGGCTGCAAATGGCACGAAAATAAATCACTACGGATCGATCATACTAAAAATAAGACACAAAGACTCTACAAGTATCAGAGCAAAATTTTTTGTATGCGATAGCGACACCACAATATTGGGTCTAAGACCATGCATCCGACTTGGTCTTGTAACGGTTAACTGCAGCATAACCAAAGTGCACACACTGAACCAAGTACAAAGCATAGACGATCTTGTAAAGAGTAGTCTGATAGATTTCAAGGCATAGGGAAGTTCCCAGGCCTTCAAAAGATACATCTAGTTGAAGATGCAACACCGGTAGTCCAACCGCCAAGAAAGTTTCCAGTGCACATTAGAGCAGACATCTTTGAATTCAAGGGTCAACAATTCCTACTGATAGCTGACCAGTATAGCAAAATGCCATTTGTGAAGACACTGAAAAATATAACTAGCACTAGTTGCATTGAATATTTCAAAGCAGTCTTTGCTGTCCATGGCATTCCGGAAAGGCTATACACGGACAATGCCAGGTACTTCGTATCCAACGAATTCCTCAATTTTGCCACAGAATGGGAGTTCACTCATATTACATCGCGCCCCAGGTAACCCACAATCAAACGGGTTTATAGAACGCATGGTCCAAAACCAAAGAAAACATTTACAAAAGCCAAACAATCAAAATGGATTGTCAAATGGCCCTTCTATGTCTTCTCAGAGCAACCCCACTAGACAGCCATCTACTCATCCCGGCAGAAATCCTATACAATAGGAAGATAAAGGACAAGACTTCCAACCTTGTTAAACACAGACACCCCAAAAGATCACGAGATCAGAGAAAAAGATTGTGCGCCAAAAGCAAAAAAGCAGCAACAATATTACAAAAAAAATGCAAAGGATCTTCCAGAATTAATTGTTGGGAGTAAAGTGTCTGTGTTACAGGAAAATGACACCTGGCAACCGGCGACAGTGGTTGATAAAAAGCGCAGAACCATGGTGCTACCATTGTCAGAATGCATGGCGATG